TAAATTAAAATAAGTGTTACTTTGTAGAACTCTCATACTTTTAAAATTTTGGCTTTTCATTTGTGAGCCTTTGGAATAAGGATTGGGAATGAAAACTTTATGGTGTGTTCTAATAAGCTGAGGAAAACCACTGTTGGGTGCTTCCTGACTGCTGCAGGGAAGCAGCCAGCACTATTTAAAAGCCTGGTGCTTTATCAGGAGTATATCTAGCACATGATGATGTCTAAAATTGGTTATGATGCAGGCACTGACGTGACAGTTAACACTATCAGAAGGAAATGCTCTTTTAAATAACGTACACAAGATCTCTTAAAGAAATTGAATGTTGTTTGAGATAATAGTAAGTGATTTGTAAATAGTAAGTTTAGTCATAGAGTAAGGGTGGATGAAAAGTTAAAGAAGTAGAAAGAGAAATCACTACACAGACATTAAATGTGCCGTGGAATCATGCCAAGTAGTTCAATGTGGGTCTCTACCCTACACCTCACTCAGGTGGCCTAGTCTAGGGGTTCAGAGATTTAATCTTAACAGATTTAAATTTTAATCAACTTTATACATGTGGAAGGGGTTAGGTCAGATTTCTTTTTCATATTTTTATTTTGTATTGCTTTGTTTTGGGGTAATAGTATGAGGTGACTTAAAAGTTCAGGAAAAAATTCCATATTCTTTTAAATCCCTTTTCCATGAACCTTTTGAAGCTCCTGAGTATACTTGTTTTACCTTTTTTTATTTACTTGACAGGTAATCTTTTTCCCTCCATATGCATAAACCATTTAAATTTAAGGCCTTTCTGCAGCCTTTTGAATGTGACCCTAGTATTTTAAGGCCCGAGGCATAGGGGTGTGGCTTACACGGCAGCTTGATCATTCAGGGCTGCCATGCTTGGAAACTCCCTCAAGGTGTCCTCTTGAGAAGTTGTTTTAGGCACTGCCTAGTTCTGGGAACTTAGTCTTTTGCTAGATAGAACCTCTCAATCAGTCATGCTCAGGATCCAAACACTGGGGCACACTGTAGTGACTCCTCCCAAAGGCTTGTTCTCTTGAGCCTGGCAGACCCCATGTGCCAAGCACAAGACTAGCCTAAGCACTAGGTACTCTGAGGCGGGGTACAAGTCTTCCTGGAGGAAGAAGAGTAATCTAATTCTTCATGTCTTTGATTTTTTATGTAGATAAGTTGCTTTAGCTGTCTCTGACAAGATCTGGGAGCTGAAAATTAGATTTTTTGTTAGCTATGTAAAAGTTATGTGATATTACATATCTTAGGGACCACAGCTTTGGCATTTGTGTTTGCTTTGTTTTTTTGCTTTATTATTTTAAAAAATCATTTTACTGGGGGCCCATCCAACTCTTTACCACAATCCATATGTGTTTTGTTCTTAAGTAAAATCCATCTATCAGCTAGCTGTTCTCTCAAGAACCATTGATCTGCCTGGCAGTTAAATAAGTTACTTGGGTAAAGACAGCTTAGCCTTTAAAAAGACTTGCATACAAGTTCACTACTCTCCTAGGGCTGCAGAGTGAGGATTATTGACTCTACGGATCCTCGAGGTGTTCTCCT